AGTCTTGTGGCATCACACATTTCTTACCCTTTTTTAAATAATTCATTTCCACATTTATGCAATTACTTTAGACAGTAATAAATAAGTGTGCTAATCACTTTTGATAGACAGCATATACAAAACAAGAACTTAAGAGTGGATTTTTTCATCAAATTTAATGTTATTATGCTTGTAACAGGTTTGCTTTTTGATCCAGGAGGATGATGGAAAATTAGTCATTCTTCATTATTTGTCATATCTTTAGACTTTTTAATTACACTTTAATTACACAAGAATCAGCATAATGCCTTGAGTAAAGATCAAATGTACCTCCTTTCATACAACCTGACTGAAAAAAAGACCTTCTCCAAGTGCCAATTTACAATATAACTGAGTTATATTGTAAAATAAAATCTTTTTCATGCAGATGCAAGAAATAATATTGAATGGCAGACTGCTTCATATTATATATATATAAACCCTAAATATTCCTTAATTTTCCAACACAAATGTTAAGGAAAATTTTAGTCATTATTTTTAGGAATTCTTAGTTTTAAATGCTCTTTCATAAGTCTGAATTTTGAGGAAAGGATCTGAAAATGTGACATGAAAAGTAAAAACATAACACTAAAATGAGCTGCATTGTGGCAAAAAACAAGGAAATTCCTACGTCACTTGCAGTTTATAGTGGTAAACTCCAAGTCCAGTACTGGTGTAGGGATTGTTACAGAAAGCAGAGCTCAGGCATTATTGCCCATAAGCTTTCTGACATACAGGATTGAATAGAGCATTGGCTTTTCCTGAAACATTATGTCCACCAATACTGCAAGAGGGGTAAATTTTTGTTAAAAAACATCAAGGGGTCTGATTCATTCTTTGCAATTTCCAAAATTACAGCTAAACTTCAATCTGCTGAGGCTGCATTCCTAAGAAGTGCAACTATATGCAGTTTAATCAAAAATTAAACAAATTAATCAAAAAAGTAATTTTTCCCATAATAATTTATATAGCAGAGAGAGAAAGTATGCAGTACCTTAGGATGTACATGTATTTTAAATATTCAGGAAAAGCATTTATAGTGTGATGGATAGGGAGCCATGGGATCACCAGTACTGTTAGCCCGATAAGGTGCTTACTTTCTAGCACTAACTTACCATAACAGACTCCCATTCTGAAAGAGCTCAGGTGCTTCATCTGTGAGGCCAACCACCCAACAGATTTCTAAGTGTGTAAGCATTTTTTCCTTCTCTTTTGGAATTGTTACATTTTCCTTGATCCCATCATCTTCCTCAGATGAATCAACATCTGTCAAATAAGTCAAGGGTAAAAGACATAACAAAAAGAAAATACTGGTTAGCAGAGCACAGTACTAAACAAGTGATGACAGAGCTCCAATTTGAAGAGGCTGAAAGTGACAGACAAGGGGTGTTACTATGTTAGTTATCTGAAGTCACTCTATAGATATTTATGAACCACAAACCAATTTGAAAGTGAAATTGAAGTGCAGTCTAAGGGGAATGGAATAGATTTAGCATCTCAAAAAAAAAAAAAACTGTATCAAGATGAAATGCTCTGTGGAATGGAATATTATCCATTTAGATTTTAAGAATCAATGACACTAATCAACTTATGAAGTGTGTTCTCATATGTTTGTCATACTAACTCCAGGCTTTATTTCTTATGCCCTCTAACCCCTTCACAGATATTTATTCCCATCTGTCTTATTTTCCTCCTTTTTGTCCTTTTTTTTTTCCCAGTGGAAACTATCCCACCTCCCTCTTTTCTCTGTTTTCATTTTCTGCACTGAATGCTTAGCGTTGACTCTGAATTTCTCTCGCCAGCAGGCAGCTGAATTATTTCTTCTAATCTTTTTCTTACCCTAGACATAAAATGTCCTCTGGCTGCCATTTTTCACTACATATGATGAAAATATACAGGATAAATAAAACCAGTGTAAGCAAATTTACAAGTTTTCTTAGAGTTATGAATTACATGAGAAAAGGAACAATGGGGTTTTTATATAAGATCTAGGATAATGTGGTCCCACTCTTCTGACAATATAAAAGTATTACTGTGCTTTCAACTTGCACTGTTTGGTCATGACTGCATTCTTGCTTAAGATACTCAAATCAAAAATGAAGGTCAAATCCTGAATGGTAGAACTTGTGTGGGATACTGCCAGATGTCTCAGAAAAAAAAAATAAAGTAGATGATCAATGAATATCTAAATCTTTTTTACACAAGATGTTCATTTGTTTTCATTCCTCCACTTCATAAATAAATATTAGTGATTTCAAGCTAAAGGGAACACCATAGATAGCAAAAAGTTCATGCAAACTGCAATAAATAATCATGAATCACTAATATATAATAAAGACATATTTTTGCCTTTATTCTTTCTGTTTCACCAGGTTCATGCAAATATGGTTCACATATGATAAGGTTTGCATAACTGTAAAAGCAAAATCACTTAGGTGTTCATAACTCAAGAAAAAATTTAATAAAATACTCTGCAAGAAGCAATATTGAGAAGCTACTCATAACCAGTTCCTTTCTTTGTGGATTAGTATAAAAAACTTTCTTTCCAGAAGAATGTATCTTCCATTGTGTTTCAATTGTGGACAGAAGTACACACTTATTGTTCCATAAGAGCTGCCAAATGCACATCTAAAATAACAAATGAACACATCAAATAATATTTTGCAAATATTCCAGGCTTTCCGTATCCAGTGTGCCAAAAAAATAACAATTGGAAGACCCAAATAATATACACAACTCAGGTGTTGAATATAAAAGCAATCAAATCTATTGTCCATGGATCTATTTTTACAACAATTCCATGCACAGTGTTATGGACAAAAATAAACAAGATGGTAGCAGAGATGAAGTTTAGGATATTTCAGCAATACATATATGTTCAATAGAAGCTGTTTTGATTTTGTGCCAACAAGGTGAAGGACATATATATAGATGTGCTGAGTTTGGCTGGAGTAGTGTTAATTCTCCTTCCAGTGACTGGAATGGGCTCTATTTTAAATTTGTGCTGAACACAAGGTTGATAATTTAGAGCTGTTATTGCTGGGCAGGCCTTACCCAGAGCCAAGGCCTTTTCTGCTTTTTGTACAGTGACACTGGAGAGGAAACAGGGTGTAAAGAAGATTGGGAGGAGACACAGCTGGGACAGGTGACCCCAGATGACCAAAGGTATATTCCAGACCATATGGGATCATGCTCATTATGTAAACTGGGGGGAAGGAGGAAAGCGGTTGATGTTTCCAGTGATGATGTTTGTCTTCCCATTCATTGTTACATGTGATGAAGCCCTGCTCTCCTCGAGATGGATGAACACCTGCCTACCCATGGGAAGTGTTAGGAAAATTAATCCACAAGCACCAGAGGTTTATGTGCAAAAAGGAGACAGAGAAGTCCTGCAACTTTATTCATGAATAAAGGGAGAGGTCATGGGCATTTCCCATGGGGTCTCTCAAATTCATAGAGGACGCAGCCTCTTTTTATCCTTATTTCCCGGTCGCAGTTCCCTCTCTCTTTCCCCGCTCGCTGAGGTACTTGAGAGATGCAGGCTCCCCAAAACGCCTGATGAAAACCTCCGCTTCTATCATACATTGCCCCCTTTCAATATACATCTCTGTCTCTGCTCTTGTAGTCTATTAACATAGTCTGGGATAAGTCAATCAAAGGAATTCCTATGGAAATTCTTCCCATTGTTTCCTTCTATCTCCCAGTATCAGCCTTATCTTATCCCCAGAGTCAGTCTGTTTGTAAAGATACTCCCTTCTCATTCCTTTCAGAAGCAATGAATTAATTCCTTGGTTTTCATTGTTTATATGGCTTCTGCTTTCACTAATCAACTGTCTTTATCACAACCCATGAGTTTTCTGGCTTTTACCTTTCTGATTCTCTCCCCAGTCCTGCTGGCAGGGGAGTGACCATGTGGCTGCCTGGGGCTTGGCTGCTGCCTGGGGTTAAACCACCACAATGTCCAACGCAAAGCGCTGAATGATGAGTGGCACACATTAGCCGGGCCTGGCATGTGCGCGCAGAGTAGAAAAGCTGCAGAAGCACAGCAATACAATCCAATTAAATAGACTTTATACATTTTATTATAAAATGCAATATGCTGGAACAGTGCATGATGGAAGAGCTAGCCATATTTTACTTGTGCTCAGCGTGTGGAACAGAAATGCGCACGTTTTAAAAAGCTCTTAAGTTTTTTAACTGTTTTGGGTTGGGGTTTTTTGGCCAACGAATGGAAAGTATCACCGTGTGAAATGCACCATCACTTCATCAGGCAACCTTAGTGCCGCTCCTCGACTGCTGGGCACAAGAAAGAAAACAACCAGAAATGACAGAAAACTGACCCTTTGAAACAATTTTAAGGGTTCGCTGTAATGAACCTAGTTCATTACAGCATTATTTGCGAGGCGGATAGAAATAATTTATCGGAAATAAACAGACCTGGAGTTAAATTCTACATCTTTACGCACAGAGCATTGATCAAGGGATTAATGGAGACGATTTTTGGACCCCAGTACCTCGATGCGCCTGAGGAAGTGTGAGGGTGGATGTGGACGAGCTTTGCCCAGAGGGCGCAGTAATGCGAGGCAGTAGCCGGGCAAGCGGGATCACGGAACCTTTCCCAGTGGATCTGTAGAAATGACGACGGAATACCACCGTATGGCGGCAAGGCGCAGAACCCAGACACACAGCGCTAAGCGCAGCCATGGCTGCCCGAGTAGAAAACGCGCGGCCCCACGCACTCCCCGCAGCGGCAGCAGCGCAGAGCAGGGAATGCGGTGAGACCCTGAGGAACTCGGCGGCAGCGCGCCGGACCGCGCTCGGGAAGCGCTCAGGAGGCGCTCGGGAAGCGTTCAGGACGCGCTCGGGAAGCGTTCAGGAGGCGCTCGGGCCCAGGCCGCGCCACGGCAGCCGCGATACGCGCACCGGGGCGGGGCCCGCAGGCTCCATGGGCCCGCCCCGCGCTCGTCCCGCGCCCGTCCCGCCGGGAGCGCGCGTGCGCCGCCAGGATGCGGCCGGGCCCGGCCCCCGCGGCGGCACTGACGGACGTGGTGAGTCCGCCCCTCCCCTGCCCGGCCCCTCTCCCCATCCCGGGGCAATGGATAGATGGGTGGATGGCTAGGTAGGTGGGTGGGTGTCTCTCCTCGGCGGGCAGGGTTCCCGCTCGGGCTGGGCTGGCGGCAGGGCCGGGCGGGCGGGCTCGGTGCCGGTGCCGGTGCCTGGTGTCCCCACTGTCGGGTGGATGCTCGGCGGTGGCGTTTGGGCCTTCAGCCCCAGGAGTACCTCGGGGGCAGGTGCCGAGGCCCCTCGGTCCCCTTTCTGCAGGGCCCATGTTGTGTCACACGGGGGCAGTGGTGCCTCCCGCACTGACCCCTTGCCATACCTTCTGCCATTCCCCACCGCCCTTGGGGGACTTAGCTTGCCTGGCCTTAGTCAGGGATTTGTCGGAAGACGTCATCATAATGTTGCGGGGTATCCTCGGTGGTGCCAAGCCATAGGACTAGAGGCAATGGGCAGAACCTGATGCCCAGGAAGTTTCACCGAACACGAGAGAGCTGCTTTACTGAGCAGTGACTGAGCAGTGGAACATATTGTCCTGAGAGGCTGTGGACTCTCCTCACTGGAGATCCGCAGGAACTGTCTGGACCAATCCTGTGCAATGTACTCTATGATGGTCCTTCGTGAGCAAGGAGGTTGGACCAGATGTCCCTAATACCAAGGTTGTGGGTTTGATCCGCATTGTGTGCCACTCATTTAAGTGTTGAACTCATTTTCATGTGGTTCCCTTCCAGCTCCGAAGATTCTGTGATTCTGTGACCCACTGTGGTCCCTTCCAGTCTCCCTTATACTGTGATTCTGTGATGTCCTTGATGAGCCACTATCAAAAGTGGCTCCTTTTGCAGAGATCTGCTTCTTATCCATGAACGTTATTCTTGCATAGTAATGATTCAAATAAAAAACATCTTTCACATCAACCCAGGCAAACATTTTTTCACATTCTGGCTGGCACTTTCATGGATCCCAACTCCAGGACCTTATTAATGCAGATAATGTTATCTAAAATACTTCAGGATTATGCTTCAGGAACCAAACTCTTGACGCTCAAGAATCAGTGAACCTGAAAATGCTTCACTTGCAGATAAACTATAGTAGGTTATTATATTTTCATCAGGCATGCATATTTTGTGTATTTCTCTTTAGAATGCTTTTAATGGAAAGAAAATTAGTGCTATGGTGTAGGGTTTTTTGAGTAGCAATAGCATTGCACTTGGAAATGTCTCACACTGTAAGCAAACAGTTATGCAATAAGTCTTTCCAAAGGGTCCTAGAATAATTATTTTTACATGTTTGGTGGTTTTTTGAAGCAGTTAAAATTGTTAAGCATTCTTTTTGTGGACTGTTAGACTGAGCAGTACCTACACTGATCTGTCATCTTTTGTTCCTCTCTGTACTGCCACAGCTGTTTTTGTCTGGTACATGGAATTTAACTGGGGATTGATCATCTGAAAAAGTCCTCTCTGAATAGAAGGGTGTTCTTCCATCTGCATGAGTTCTCTAGTGAAGTTCATGTTAAAATGACTGCTGTGAGCAGTTTTGAAGATGCGGAGCAGGGACTTTGGAAGGGGAAAGAAACACCTGGGTGGTCTCTGGTGGCTTAAGTAGCTCTCCTCTCAAATGTGAAACTCAGACATAGTTCTACAGGTTGTGTATATGTCACATCCCCTGTCTTTGTCTTTATTTCATTTCCCTGAAACTGTGATTTCCTAACTAATGAATGCATACTTACAGATGTACCTAATTACCTTTCTGCTCAGTTCTGTTCTTGCTGGAGCAGTATATGTTTTTTATATATATTTATATATATGAAAAACTTACATTATGGGAAACATGACATTTGAATTGAAACAATGAGAAACAATGACATTTTATCTAAAGTATTTCTATATGGTAGAAATATAATTATGGTTTTTTTGTCTAGGTAGGAAATGAGTTCCTAGTTGTAATTGAGTTGCTGGCTCCAGCAACTGTGCACTGCTGTGCCAATCACTCCCCTGTTTATTCACTGGCCTTGTGTAACCTGAGCAGCTGCAGTTATTGCTGCATAGTGTGTGCTTGCACACCGTGTGCTTGCACACCGTGGTATAACAGCAGTCAGTCATGGCTTCAGAGAAGGCATGTTGAAATGACTATTCATTTTCATTGCTTCTTTTTTCTCCTTAGGTAATTCTAGAAGCTATGGATATACTCTTCAGAATCAGAGGAGGTTTGGATCTTGCATTTCAGCTTGCAACCACTGATGGTATGTCTATAAGACTAATATATTTCATAATTTATATAAACTTTTATTAAGAAACTATTTATAATATGTATTTTCTTGGCATTTAACCAGGTGTTAATCCAGTATTGGTTCAGATTGTAAGGTGTGGGTAAAACACCTTTCAAGCTCTGAACGACCACTCTGTGTACCAGTAACAAAGTTTCAGGCAAACCATGGTGTGGCTGGTTTATGTCAGCCAAAATTTCATCCTCATGATACTTGAAAAGGCTTGGAAATAAAACTCTATAGACCGGTGTCTACAGAGCAGGTATTGGTTTATTGCAGCACTGGAGGTGAGGGGGATTTTTCCTCCTAACCCACCTTTGCTTTAAATTAGCACATATTTATACAGTAAGCATGGTGTAACATTGCCATTGTTACTGCCCCCCATATGCCCACCATACACCCACCACTATACATGGGCAGGAGATACATGATAGCATAGTTTTACAAGTGCAAGTGTCATCTTCAATTCGGTGGTCGCGGGGGTCTCTCTCTAATGAGATAGTGTTTTTTTCAGTATGGTGGACTTTTAACCTTTGTCTTCAGGGCATGCACAGTTGCGATGTTCATGGGTTTTTTTTCTAGTCTTCTAAGTCATCATTTTTAATTATTTTGCTGATTGTCCTGTGCTTCTGCTAAGTTCTTACTAGTGCTTGCTACTGTTTCTTATTATAGCATCTACTTGTTTACTTTCTTCAGAACTTTTCTGATTTATGCCTTTTGGTAATTTTATTTATCTATGTATTAATCCAGCTGGTTAGATTACGTGCAGCTCGTATACTACATGTTGCTAGTACACTATTAAAAAAACTTACAGCAATATATAAAAAGCTATCATTTATAATCTATTGAAAGTTATTACATTGTATTATAATAATATGTAAAAAGTTATTACATTCTTATATTGATAAAGTATAAAAAAGCTGTAGAAAGTTTTCAATTAATAGGCCTCATAAGCACTTAGCTACTTTAATATAGATCATATGTATCACTCACCTTGAATGTAGGCCCTGCTTTTCCAAAGATTTAGTCAGGTTTTGGCTTGTATTTCTGAACAATGATATGAAGTCAGAAACATCTGACTCAGATTGAATCTTTCCAGGACTTTTTCAAAAGACTAGATAAACATAAAGGTATGTCTGTACATTGAAGTTTGTTTGCAGCTGGCTTGGTTAAGAGTTATTAGATGTGGTAATGGACAGCAGAGTAAGTTGTTCTTCTGTAATTCATTCAGCTCTCCATATCTGATAGCATCTGAGAAACAGTACTCATCTTTTTCTGGGAGGTGTGTGTGTGAATGTTTGAGGCAGACCTGCTAAGTGAAATCTTACCTAAGTTTTTGTTTACCCAGTCATTTTTCTGATCATAGTAGCACTTGCATTTTTATTCCAAGTCAAAACAATTTTGTTGAATGTATGCCCAGCAGCTACAAAAAATGGTGACGGATTTCTTTTAGGCTAACTGTATCCTTACTGTGTTTCAGAGGCATCAACGAAAAAGGCATTAGGATATGTTTTCAGTGATCTTGAAAACAAACTGTCCTCAGAGGTTCTTGTGTTAAGAATTTGCCACAGTTCAGTCTATGTGTGGCCTAACAATGGTATGAGCACAGTTCCAGAGCTGACTGATGAGTCTGCCTGTAAGGAGATAAGACGATTTATACAGTGAGTATGTTTAAAAACTGGGGGGGAGGGTTAATAGATTAGTTCCATATTATAGAAATTTCTTTCTCTTGATACTTCAGATTTGATCAAGATGATGAAACCAAACGAAAGCTTGGCAAAAAAAAGGATAAAATGTTACACGATACGGTATGTTTCCCACCCCACTAATAAATTATATGACAAACTGCCATTTAAACATTTTTAGACTTGTCCTCCCCAGGCTTTTCTGTACACAAATAGGCATTGACATGACTTAAAAGAATGCTTTTAAAGTCGTTGAGACTTAATGTGAATGCAGAAATCCAGCTATAGTAGATTAGCACATAGAAGTTTGTCTTTAACATTACCAGCTTTTTTTTTTTTTTACCTAAGTATTTCATTACTGAGTTTGATACCAAATATCTGCAATCTTACTTTTGTCTTCATAGTACATGTGTAGTTGGAAATGTACTGTTGGGGTCTTTATTCTCTGCAGCAGCAGATAATCAATGTGGATCTCATGTTGGAAATGACCTCTTCATTAGCTGCTTTGGCTCCAGTCATTGAAAGGGAAAAGAAGGAACACCACTACATAAATATGACATTACCAGTTGATGTTGTTGTATCTGTTTCTCCAGAAGAACCATGGGGAAAGTGAGTGTTATCCTGAACTTGCAATTTTTCAGCTTCACTTCTGATTTTTCTTGAAATAATGAAGTTAAACTGTATTATTCATCAGTTTAATGAAAAGTGTGTAGTATTTTTATGTATACATTTAACTGTTTGAATAATAAAAGCTCATGTAGACAGCTGTTAACTTTAATAATCTTGAGACGTGATTCTTTTGCTGTCTGTTAAAAATTCAGTTTATCAATGACAGATTTTATAGCTTGTAACCATTGCTTAGCAGGGAATTGAAAATACTCTAGAAATTCTGGTATGTGAGGTGTATAAAAGTGAGAGTTGGGGTGTATTTGATGAGTCTTTGTAATCTCAGCCCTACATTAGGGGCTGCAGCTAGCTAGGTATAGATGGAAAACATTTGAGACTTCCTCTGTATTTTTTCTTTGTGTTTTTTCCATAGGATTATACTCTGAACGATGCTGAATGGGGTGGATAAAATGCAAAAAAACCAACCCCACATTTAGTCATACATGAAATTTTTATTTTGACAGTGCTGGTTGTGTTTCTGATATGAGACTAGTGTAGCTGCATTTTGGAATATTGAATCACTAGACTCATTTCTGTGTGCAGACAATCTTTGAGTAAGGCACAGTAAGGATCTGCCTTTCCCTGTGGGAGCAGAAGCTTTGAAGTAGAGCAGTTATCTGATCAGGTCACACATGCATATGGGTATTGTATAACTCAGAGCTCTGAGAAGAAATGATTCACCATCACTTCTGCTCCACTTTTAAAATATTCTGCCTTGTATATTGCAGGGTACAAAATCTCCTAGTGAAAGCAATTCATGGGCAATTAACTGACATGGAAAGATGTATCATGAAATATATGAAAGGAACATCAATTGTGGTACCAGAACAATTTCATTTCATGCTACCAGGAAAAAATCACCTTGTAACAATCTCATATCCTACAGGTATTTCAGATGATCAACTGGAAAGTTACAGAAAGGTAAAGCAAACAAACCATAACAGAACCTGATCTTTTATTTTTAATTACTGTAATTGAGGCAGTGGTAAAGCTTTCCCTTTAGTCAGTGTAGAATAAATACTAGCAGATACTGCTGTTCTTTTAAATTTGTTTTTATTATAACCAAATCAGTATACTGAATGTTTAAACTTGATTAGAAGTTATTTTATGGAATGTGCCAGATCTCATTTTTGTAAAGGAACAGTAGAAACTTTGAAATACATAAAATTTGGTTGATAAAGATTTTATCTAAATTATACTTCCAGTACAGTGTTCTTTCAATTTCTCCACCTCCATTGGAGAAAGTCAGTTTACTTCTAGTGTGTTATTACATTCAGGCTTTAACACCTGTTCTGAAAAGTTGTTTGTTTTGCTTTCTTTCTTGAGAGTTTCTGGTTTTGTGGAGTTTTTCTCTGGTTGTTTATAGGGAACTGCTTTTCGTAGCTCACAGCTGACCAGGCTTAGGTAGTTTTTGGCTTGGTTTTGCCTTCTGAGTTGGCACATTTGGAAAAAAATATGGATGAGGTGGAAAATACTGAGATGAGGCACTGCTTTCAGATTGAGACTGATACCAGTCCAGGTCACAGTTTCAGGTACTGAGAGCAGGGAAAGAATATTCTGCCAGCTTAGAGGTGTAGAAGCTGTGGGGACTTCATTTTCTTTTTCTGTGTGAAGCATTACTGGGTGTATAAAACCCAATTTAGCCTTGTGTTTGCAGAGGCCTCAGGCATTGGTGGCACTCTGTGTTTCCTACTTCTCTATCTGCTGTTCACTCTTACCCACTGGTGGGAAATGTTACTGCAGTGCCTGTGGCTGGGTTCAATGCTGGGTCATCTGCCTAAAATGTATTACCCGTGTTACACATATTATCCTAGATGATCTCATCGTTCCTTTCACTTTTAAGCTCTGTGAAATAAGACAATATATCTCTTTAAATGTGGCTGCTGTGTGGCAAACAGAGCTTAAGAGATTTAAAAATAGACTGAGCTGCTTGAACCATAAGCCCAATATCTTCACTTTGTCTCATGTGTATTCTCCAATATCAGTTAAGAATATAACGTATTTGTGTATCTACATTATCATGTAGATAAAACTGTAATCCTTGTCTGTGATGGTGTATTTTATCACACTTTCGTAACAAACCTGTCACACGTGATATCCTCAGTGGGGCTCCAGTAGGTGTTATGTAATAGGACTACATAAAATAGTGGGCCCTTTAGATGGGAGGTAAGCCTGCATGAGCTGCCTTGGAGAGGTGACCTCTAGTAGTCAATATACCTGCTGAATGTTTAATTAAACATATTTTAATTATTTGCTAAACTATGCTGTTAAAATTACATCTTTATTGCTACTTACAATGTGATCTTTCTTTTAATCCAAAATTTGAATTGTGTTTCTTATTTTTATTTGAACTTGCATGTAGGAATTGCATGGGTTATACAATCTGCCTTGTGACAGACCATATTTCAAGAGAGCAAATGCTTATCATTTTCCAGATGAACCATATAAAGATGGATATCTCAGAAATCCTCATTTACATCTTAGTTCACCTGGCATGGAGTCTGGTATGGTAAGTTTAAATTGAAGCATATGGCAGAAAGTACCTTTTTATTTTGAGATTTTTTTATTAAAAGAAGTAATTTAGATAGTCAATGATGTGCAGATGAGAAAGTGAAATAATTGGGTTGACCTTTAAAGCAAAAGGGCTCCTCTGCACAAAATGACATTGCTTTAATTTGCTGTATTTTTCCCAAATAAATTAGATTTTCTAGGGAAAATCATGTAGAAGTTTTTAACATGCATTCTAAAATTCTCAGAATCAGGAAAAGAAACTAAAACTATGAGAAGTTTATGAGACAAAAATAGGAGGCGTAATCATGTGTGAATAATGACACATCGATTCTTCTGAAGATTTGCAGTCCGCTGCTGAAAACTTTCACAGTGCAAGTGACAGGTCATATCACTTCTCTGAAAACCGATGCAAGTGTGATCAGATGCTTTTGTATTGTCTCTTCCTGTGCAGGTTTATTTAGTACAAGGTGTATATAGTTACCATCACTATATGCAGGATCGCATCGATGACAGTGGCTGGGGCTGTGCCTATCGGTCTTTGCAGACAATCTGTTCTTGGTTCAAGCAACAAGGCTACATGGATAGACCTATACCAACACACAAGGAAATTCAACAGGTACAGAACATTTAAGGAGATTGTTTTATGCATATTTGTCTGTAAAGGTTTGTGTAGATTATCTTTTAGATTTGTGGGATATTTTTTATCCTTTAAATTGAACTGGTGGTTCTGAATTGTTTATCTGTGTTGGGTGACATTATGTGTACAAATAAGATACATTTAAATAGTCTTTTAAATGTTTCCTTGGATTAATGTTCTATTAGAAGCTATGATATGACATTTTCAGTGGTTTTGTCAAACGAAAAGAGAACAAAGAACCCAGTGTGTCATGCTAAAATCAGTTTTAAAAGTGGCTGTTGTATTCAGTGACAGCTGGCTTAGTTCCCAGATGCTACACATGAATTTATTGATACCTTTTGCGGCTTCGCCTTTGAAAGTAGCGCACTTTTCCTGATTTTTGAACTCTCCCTCACTTCTTCATCTGTTTTGAATTCAAGTGCATACTTGAATATGTTAATTTCTATTAACAGCACTGAAGTAAAACTGTAGGCTTGGGTAGCTAATACCCATACTTGGGTATGCCTGTCAGGAATACTGCAGTTATCTTCAGTCTTCTAAATGTAATTCTTCATGTTACATTTAATTACTAAACAGTTTTAGTAAAGTTTAATTCATTCCATGAAACAACTTCAATCATACATAGCAGGAATGTGAACACTAAAGGTAAAATTGCATTTCTTGAACATTTCTCAATCCACATGTGGATGGTATTTAAGTCTGTGCACTCCTGTAGTATTTTTAGGCAACTAAAAGTGGGCAGCCTGCAGAAGACCWTGTGGACTTTGTGTTCTGAGCAGAAAAGATCTCTCTCAAATACTGCATGTAACATATAAGCATGAGAATGAAGAAAAATTTAAGTTAAACCATAATCTTCGATATATATCAGTGGTCTCTTCATCAAAGCACTATTTTGTGGATCCTTTTTTGAGATGCTTTGAATAGAAACCAAGCCTTCCAGTGTGTGACGTGGCTTCTGCAGTGTGCAAATGATGCACTTCATTATTAAATACAGCTCAGTGGTCACCCTCCCAGCTTAAAGTCTGMCAGTGGACCTGGGATTGTAGTCTCTACTCATGGATACTCTTCTGCATTATTGCTCAAAGAGACATTTCCAAAACAGAACTGCAGTGAATGAATTCAACATTCATTGGTCTGCTTTTGACCAGCTAGGTTCAAAACACATGCCCATATATATAAACCAACTTTGTTCACAAAAAATGATGGAATTCTCTACTGTATGTTGTTGATATTTGATTTTCTTCCTCATTATGATGTTTCAAAGGCATTGGTTGATGCTGGAGACAAGCCTGCAGCATTTGTTGGGTCACGGCAATGGATTGGTTCAATTGAGGTACAGCTTGTTTTGAATCAGCTTTTTGGAATAACATCCAAAATATTATTTGTCAGGTAAGAATCGTTACCTGCTTAGTAGCTGCTAATTGCTAAAAAGACCAAATGCCTTCAAATGCAAATGTTGATTGCAGTGCATGGGAGAAGAAGGATTGTTAAAGAGATAATAAACCTTTTAAGGGCTCCTTGATCATAAACCCTGTAGTTCCACCTTTAGTTTTGCTATGTGCTTACAGATGAAGGTGGTGTTAAATTTCTTGGGAGCATGGGATTCCAGTTTCCAGTTGCTATAAATTGCTTAATAATATGCAAATTGCCTGGTTTTATAAAGCTCTGGTCTAATGCTTCCACAAGAAATGTGGGTCCCATTGGGTGTGCTTTATCTATAAATTGCTTAGTGATACGCAAACTGATATGGAGTTCAGCTTATTCTTTTGCACCACAAGCACAAGGCACAGTCTGATGGCCACAGAGAACTCAATACACACTGACAAAGAAGTTATTACTGTGGCCACAGTCCTAACTTGTGAGTTTAGGATTGAGGCAAATTGTTGAGAAGTCTGGAAATAATGTTCTCTTTTTCGGTTTTGTGTGACAAGTAAAGCAAGGAATTTGTTTCCATTCTGACAAACTGATGCTCTTATACACAATGAAGGACCCTATAAAGGTATTTGGGACAAAAAGAATAATGTTCAGCATTTATCAGAAGAGAAATTACTGTATTTTTATCATTTAGGCAGCACTAAGCGGGCACTAAGCAGACTAACAAATCCCTGAACATTGTGATAAATATCAAAATAAATAACATATACTAATTTAGTGCATATGAAAATACAAGTCAAAATACTTCTCATATGTTATGTTTATTTAGAGTAAATTCACACTGTAGATATTCTAAAAGAACATGGTAATGGGGATTGTTAATAGTAGGAAAATAGTTCAGGTCTTGAATATTTTAATTTTTTTTTTGTTCCAGAGCTTGCACTTGCAGATGATCCACCTATTATTTATGGCAGCTGTGACAGGCCCTGCCAGTAGGAAGATTTTTATTCCTGCATATGAGAATATAGAATACAGTCCTTTCTGAACTGGGTAGAATTGCTCATAGTGCTGCTGCAAAGGAAAGCCCTTTTTTTCAGTGTTATGAAAAACCAACCCAACATCCACTACCATGCTGGGAAGAAGAAACAATCAGGCAGCTTTTTCAGCTAGTCAGTGGCAGTGGATGGCATTTTTGTTTTGGGCTTATTTCCAGCTAGCATCCCTAATTCTTCATGGAAATAAGACTTCACAACTGCACCAGCAATACTAGTACTGGATACATTATTATAAATGCACCATTTCCCAAAGATCCAGTTTTATATTCTGTCTGCCCTTAATCCCATTCTCTCTACTTGGGAAGTAGGCATGAAGGCTTTCATATGGTTTTTAAAAGATTAACCACTATATAAAAAAGTATAAAGACAAAATATTAAAAAATTCTGCATTAATTTCCTTGCTTAGCAACTGGACTATGTGTTAGAAAAATTGTTCAGATTATTTTGGGAAGTTTACACAGGAACAATCCAAGTAACTTTCTAATCTATTATCTATGCAGTTAATGAGTATAATGGATAATTAGAGAAGTAGGCCTAGTGAGAATGACAAATCTGTTATTGTTTTTCTTACCTAGCCAGGGTTCTGAACTAGCATTGCAGGGGAGAGAGCTGGCTAATCATTTCAAGACTGAGGGAACTCCAATTATGATTGGTAAGTGTTGAGTGTTGAACACTAATGAAAGTGCTGAATTTCATTTCAATTAGAACCCATTCAATTTATTGTGCAAGAGTTAATCAAAACTGTACATGAATTAAAAATTGCACTTTTCCCAAGGTAGCCTCAAAAATGATACTATTTAGTCTGGCTGGTATCTTTTTATTGAGCATTTCTTTCAAGTTCTGTATTAAACACGATAACAAAAGTCAATCTAAATGTTGCTTTTATAAATTGCTATTAAGTGAGAACTTGAGCTGAATTCCATTCTCTAGAGGAGCAGAAGTTCATAGAGTTCCCCAAAACTTCCCCTCAGAGAAGGGTACTGTTCATCTGGTTTGGAAGAGAAGGGTATTATCCAAATTTGGTTTAAGACCAGTTTTAATAATCTGAAATATTGGTAAAATAAGAAGTGCCATTTGTAAGAATACTGTGACATTAATTGAACTATTTCTATGCTGTGTTTTAGGAAATTAGTTATATTGATAGTATTCTTTTCAATTTTGATAACATTAATTTAAACAATGTTTGCAGGTTTTTCTGTATTTGGCATTCTATAATACAGTGTAACTTTCTCAAAATAGAGGTGCCAGAAGTCCAGATTTTGGTATGGTGATGGTTTAGATTAGATATGAGGAAGAAATATTTCCATGTGAGGGTGGCAAGACAACAGAACAGGTTGCCCAGAGAAGCTGTGGATGCCCCAAGGCCAGGGGGATGGCCCCAGGCTCAAGGCCAGTTGGATGGAGTTTTGAGCAACTGGGTCTGGTGGGATGTGTCCTGCCCACAGCAGGGGATTTGGAACTAGGTGATACTTGAAGTCCCTTAAAACCCAAACCATTCTAGGATTCTATGAAATTTTCTTGACCTTTCAGCAGCCTTTTTGTCTGAATTTCAAGAACATAGAATCCTATATTGAAATTTTTTTTACTCTGTAACTTAAATGCTGTAATGCTTAAATCCTGTAATGCTTTCTTGTAGGTTGGTTTAAATTTTGTTGTTGGAAGGTTGGAGATTGGGATTTTGAGGGTGGTTTTGGGGAATTGGTTTTGCTTGTATTCTTCCAGGGATTTTGCAGTTCCTCCACCTGCTATGTGGAGTAGTTAGTACAGTATTGCATGCTGTGGTAAAGAAACATGCAAGAGTTGACCTGTGCCCATCTCATCAAAATATCCCTTTTTCCTGTTTGCAGGCTGGAGAAAGGGAAGTCAGAATTTACTATTCTGCCCCTAATATTCATTGATGTAACTTAACAGAAAACAGCAGATAAACCTTATCTAGAAGTTCTGATTTCTGTTCTAATTTTAGTCCTTTTATGACCAGGAAATTTTCCAGATTTCTTTTCTACAGTCAGGTTTCTTCAAAGAAAAAGTGCAAAAGAGATGTTTGAAATATTCTTGACTTCATCTGGTAGATGTGTTGAGGATTTAACCTGCCTTGCTGACTTTGAACGAATTTGGAAAACAAATTCTTTACTTATTTTAGTTACTACAACTAATCTTGCTTAGATACAGATATAGTAAAGACATGTTGTTTAGTAATGTAAAAAATCTTATATAGGGCACTTTTAGAATCATACAAGCTAATCTATTAATACAAGGTTTTTATGTACTTTTATTTAACCCTTGCAAAGTAAGTCATTTAGTGAAAAACAAATTCAGCTATCTCTGTTTTTCCTATTTTAGGTGGAGGTGTTTTGGCTCACACAATATTAGGAGTGGCTTGGAATGAGACTACAGGTCATATAAAATACTTAATTCTAGATCCACATTACACTGGAGGAGAAGATCTGCATGTTATTTTGGAAAAGGTGAGCTTTGATGCACATATATCCACACACGTTTATGCATATACATGTGTTTTGGCATTAAACAGATAATGTCCAGCCAAATACAAATTGGCCATTCTGTGGCTTCTCCATTCCTTATAGAGGAAGTGCTGATCCCAGTTAACCTGCATACTACAGTATGCTAGGTATTATCAGTTTCTGAAACTTAGTGTCTTTGGAAGAGATGTATCAGATCAAGTTACTATACTATAAAGCAATGTTCTTTATTTTATCTGAATTCACCCATCTCCCCTTTTACCCAGGACTATATACAATAAATGTGGTTTTTGTTTTGAATAAAACAGAAAATTCTGTTTAGGCTGTAAGGTAGGTGCTGTAAATGAAGTAGAGAAGATAACTTATTTAAAATTTTTAAAGGCTTTTAAAAAAATCTGATACTAACCACTCTCAGATCAAGCCTTGAACAATGTTCAGACAGTAAGTACTGAACTGTTTTTAAAATGTGGAAAAACTCTAAAGAGCTCAAGGGTATGTAATGTCATTTTCACCTTTAAAGCCTCTGACAGGGACGATGCTGCACTTTACAAACCAGGAAACATAGTGTCAGAAATGTAAACTCTGAAAGTGCCTGTGTTAGGTAACCAGTTTCTGGTTTTCATGTTTAATTGGAAATAGTAACTTCTGTTCTAATCTTCGATACCCTTGGGTAGGCCCAACAAAAAAACAAAGCTGTTTAAGAAACATTTTGCTGCCCTATACTGATCAAAGCCTGAAATGAATACAGGAAGAAACAATTTCCAAAGAACATATAGGACCAAATGCTGTAACAGCTACCAGCTGTTAAGCATGGTCCAGTGGTCCAGGAGGATAAAATATATGCAGAACCCACTTTTCTCATCTAAACTGAGGAAGAACTGAGGTGGACTGTGTGTAGCTCTTTTCTTCAAAAATACCTCCAATAATTATGTGCTACTTTGCAAACTTACAAGTTTTGTTAGATTGTTTCTTTCTGCAGAATCAGGTTGAACAGCACAGCTTCTGAAATTAGGAGGTCTGTTTGGGGCTGAAGTGCCAACAGTTGCCAAAGAAGGCAATGATTCAGGATGAGAAAGGGAAGCTGTGAGAATGATGGAGTTTCAGAATAATATTAGTCTGTCAGTAGCAGCAGAAGGTAGTGGGAAGGGGGATGGGGAGGAGATGATACTTCCTAAGAACTAAGCTGGAGCAGGACCAAGGGCAAGAATGCCTTTGTATTGATATATTTAATATTAACGTCTTTCCAGGCATGTGGAGAACTTTCAGAGAAAACGGTCATTGCATTCTATAGACATTGGAAAATAATTTATACAGCTTAGATTAGTACAATCAGTAAAATAAGAATAGCTCCAATGGTAATAGACAGGAAAACCGGAACTCACAGTAGATTTAAAAGCTATCTTGCTTTCCCTTGGACAGGGCTGGTGTGGCTGGAAGGGCCCGGAGTTTTGGAACAAGGACGCCTATTATAATCTGTGCCTACCTCAACGACCAAAAGCTATATGAATTCATTCTTATGCTGGAACATGCTAAGACAGAATAGTAGCTGATCTAGATAAAATTGTCCTGTTATTTATCAAAATAATGCTTTAAGTCAATCAAAACACAGTTGAAATAGAAATGTTGGTTGAATAACTTAAATTATGAAACTTTTTTTTTAATGAAACCTCTAGAAATAAGAGTTACTTGCTTAGAACTGTATTCCTTACAAATGCATTTATTAGGCAACGAATACTCTATACTTTTCCATAGAACAACTTTATGTTTATATAGTATTTTCTCTTCTGCTAAAATCTTTATAGATTAAACGTCAAATCCTTTCGTTTTATGGAATTCCTTCATGACAAAAAGATAGACTGTCCTCTGCCTTTCCAGTTCCACTTAGCCAGCTGTCTTGTGCATCATGAATCTGTTCAATCTTGTTTGCTGCTGGTACTCTTGATGACACATTTTAGGAGTGGGAGAAAAATGGCTATGCGTACTGAATTTTATTAATTTTGCTCTCAACACATATTTACACAGCAAAAAAAATGCAGGAGAATTAACTTTACATGCTCATTTATTTATAGATATATGAATAGAAGTATTCTAGGGGGAAAAAAAAACCTCACAACATTCTTCTGTAAGAAGTAACAATAAACAAACTTTCCTCCTTCTCAGAAGGAGATGGTGTCCTGTCAGCAAACACATCTGACTGCTCAGTGTATCATCCAGTCATGGTTCTTCAGACTTCAGATTACCCTTATTTTATGTTTGGATTACAGGCTGTTTCTTCTTGCAACTAAGAGAGGAGATCTGTCATATAAACAAACAAAATAAGTCTGTAGTTACTTCATCAGTACATTAGTAAGACTACCTATGATTTTTATTTTTTTTCTGTGTAAAGTAGCTTCCTAAGTGGTATTCCCCATGTACTGTCCATTTCCAAGAAGACCCTAGCCTTAACTACTATGCAAGTTCATCCTTATTAGCCGCTTCTAAATATAAATGCTCTGCGTCTAACACAAATTTCTTTTACTTAGGTGCTAAAAACATTTAAAAAAATACTTTCAACTGTATTAAACCAATGCTATTACCCACCATCTGATCTTCTCCTCTTCCTGCTTATGGATCTGCTGGTTTCACTTTCTTGTTTCTGGGCAGTTGGATCCTCTCTCAGCCAGGCATGTTTGTCACTTAGCGAGTATCCAGACTGCCGTCTCAGTTTCATTGTCTGAGTGTGCTGAATTGTCCTGAGGAACTTGGCACATTCCAGAAAGCCATAATCCAGTGCGAGATCTGCTGCTGTCTGTCCACTGTTGTTGCACAAGCTAAAACACAGAATTAACAATAATCAATTAAACTGGAATAATGAGCAAGTATTGATTAAGTGGTAAATTTAGGCAGTTGTATAAAAATAAGTACAGATACTCAACACCAAGGTTTGTCAATGATAGCACAGGCCTCATACAAGGAGTTGGTATTAAAAACAACAAGGAATAATTATTTTAAAATAGATTTGTCATCAGACTGTTACTGGCTTAGCATATTAGAAAGGCAAAAGAAGGTGACATTATGATCAGGAATATTCTCTCAGCAGTTGTTACAGAGGTATACAGCTAAACAGCAGCATGTGGTCTGTGCTACTTTGGTGTTCACATCAGTTTTTAATACTCTCATCACTATAGTCATACTATATTTGCAGCCTCAGCATGCATGTTCTGAGCAAGTTAAATGTCCTGCGTAAAATGTACATCCTTTGATGCTCTTACTGAAGTTACTAAATGTAGCTCAACTTACTCAATTTTAGCATCACCAGCAACAAGGAGAGCAAGACATTCCAAACTCCCAACTTTTGCTGCTTTATGAATCGGAGCTTCTCCAAGGCAATCCTAAAAACACAATTTATATATAATAGTCACTTGAAAGAAGAGGAATAGGATAAAGCTGTCTTTTTCTCCAAAATGATTATTTAAGTAGACCAGTCTGTTGTGAGCTGAGAGAGATTAAAGGAATATAGCTAGCAAAGTGACCTTGATAACTGCCATTAATGTCTAGTGTATTCATCACCACAGAGTAGAAACGCTGTCCACTGCAGTACTCATTGGTTAACCTTTGCCTTCTAAAAGATAATTTACACAGAATACTCTCTACACAGATTAACAGCATCTCTTAGAACCATTCAAGGATTATACTGACCAAAGGCTTGCGACCAGCTCAGAGGTATAAGGAATTAAACTTTGCAACTAGAGTAAGAATCCTAATATTTACTGGAAATGGGGACAAAATTGGAGGAAAAATACTCAATTGTGTAAAAAATTGTTTGGTCATCTGCATGCAGGTACTCCTAAGTGTGAAAACTGAATTATACATAGCAAGTGAAATCGCTAATGCAATAGAGACAGGATTTCTTGTTCATGCTAGAAGTTACTCTAGATAAACAACCTGAGATACCTCATGCAATATAAATGTGTATTTAAAAACCTTCTCTGAGATAAAAAGCATGTAAATAATATTAAATGGATTTAGTGGCATGCCAGATTCGAAGTGGAAGGAATAAAAATTATGTGTTTTTACCTGTTGGTTCAAATTTGCTCCTGTCTGCAATTGCCAAAGTAGGAAAAAGGCTTCACCACCACAAGCAGCCAAGTGAGCTGGAGACTGGCCAAAGGCATCCACAGGTGCATTCACAGCGGTTCCTGCCTCAAATAGATGGCTGAAACTACCGGGCTGAAACAAGATATCAAAAGAAGAAATGTTACTGACAGTGTAAGCTACGATATCTCTCAGAACACTGCATCACAGCAAAAAATATCCCCCTTGCAAATCATTGGACCTCCACGTTCCTTGAAACTGCCTTTAAAAAATAATTTAAAAAAAAGGGCAGTGCAAGAATGACTTTTTTGGCTTTTAATCTCTTAACCAAAAATACCGATCGACAGCGACAGTGCCCCAACATTAATAGCAGCTTGAGGCAAACTACACTTCATTCACTTCTGCAGCTGGGCTCCCTGTATGACAAACCCGCAGCCCGACCCTGCCAAACCTCACCTCTGAACTGCAGTCCAGCATCGGCATCGCTCCCCTTTGCCGAGCGCTGGGCCGTCGGGGCTGGAGGGCCGAGGCGCGGGTCCGTCCGTGCCCGCCTCCCCGGCCGGCTGCGAGCGCCGCAGCCCCGCCCCGCCCCGCCGGGCCGCAGCCGCACGTAGGCAGCGGCAGCCGCCGCCCATTGGCCGCCCCGGGGGCGCCGCGGGGCCGCGACCGGGCCGGGCCGGGCCGGGGCGCGGGGCTGGCGGCGGGGGCGGCCATGGGGCGCGGGGCCGCCCGGCACGTCCCGCACACACTCGCGGTCGCGGCAGCGCCCTCCGGAGCCCTGGGCAGCCCGGCCCCGGCCGTCTCTGGAAGCCCCTCCTGCGCCGGAGCCGCCGAGCCGTGAGCGCGGCCTTGTGTTTGCTTGGTTTTGCTGCTGCCAAGCGCAGCCTGCGAAGTGGTTCTGGCAGCGTACCTTAACGCTGGTTTGGGAAGGTGAGACCAAGGCAGACTTGGATCTAGGAAAGAAAACAACAGAGAACTGATATAGGGTTTTTTTTTTTCCCCCAAAGAATCTTAAGTCCGTAAAAAGAAATCCGTACTAGCTTCCTGCCCAACCTCTGCCACTAGGCCGGAGACTGGCCAGACGTGCCACACTGAAACCCGGGTCTCCCTTTCCGCACACACATTGCAGCAAGTTAATCACCAGTCCGAGCGGGACCAGAATTGGCGGTGCTGGAACTGGGCACAGCCACCTCTTAATCTCTGCTCAAAGAACATTTGCAAAACCAGACCTTTGTCACTTACCCGAGCCTGAAATATCCTAGAGAGGGAAACTGTCCAAGGTGCGTAAATCTGTTCCCTTAGCACTATGGTATTTCATTCTGTGTCAGGTGCCTACATGTTTGTTATGGAAGTTACTCATAATCACTACCATCACTTTAAAAAAAAAATGAAAGTCATGTATTTTAAAAAGAAATAATAATGCCATGGTTTTGATAAACAGAATTAGGGGGAAGGAAGCCTAACAGTGCTCCTTTAGGGTATACCTATTTCTGAAATGAATTCACAAACACAATGAAATTACTGTCTACTTCTTCTTTGGGAAAGCACACATTAATTATTTTACTGGAACACGAGCTTATACAGCACAATTTTTAAAGGTGCAGAAATTCAGGTAGATAGGCAGTGAATCAATTCAGTGGAATTATTTAGTAAGTGACAGTTTCCCCTTTTCTTTTATATGGAAAGAAATACACTTGTGTAATTACAAAATGTTATGTAAGATTTTTTCCCTGAACAGCTAGCCAAGCCAATTAGTTAACAAACAAATAAAATTCCTACACTTCTAACTATGCCTCATTAGGGATGAAATACCTCTGCACAGACACCAGAAATCCACAGTTATTCTTTGTGCAACGTATCTCCAGAATTAGCTTAAGACTAAATAGTTTTGCATTGCCCAAAAGATTGTGTTGTGTTTTTGTTTTGTTTTTGTTTTTGTTTTAAAGATCTTCCCTCCCCTGCATTACCTCAGCAATTCAGAGGTTTCAGAGAACACCAGAGGAATCCCATCTTTCCAGCCTAGCTGCCTGTACACACATTTGCATCCTGACAGCCAAAACTGTCTTCAAATTCCTGCTGTTAATTAGTTCTTGAGTTTCAGGTCACATTTTGCACATCTCATTAGTGTCTGCAAAACTCTTCTGCTTCTGAATAACCTGTACTTGTACTGGTATAAACACAGAAGCAACAATTTTTCTTCTATTTTATATGGGGCAGCCCAAGTGCCAGTTAATGACAAGGCTTCCTGGCTACAGCTGTTCTGTAACTTACGGAAAAATTCCTCTGTGCTTTGTATCTCAGGTCACACATCTTGCATAGGTATCAACAAAATGAAATTGGAAAAATGGCTCTAATCAATGTGTGTAAGCAGTCAGATAAACAAAGGTGTGCTGGTGAATCTCACACCCTTCAGCATCAAAAGCAGCTGTGCAGCCCATTGCTAACTGACTTTGCTGAAGGGTAATGCTGCTTTCACAGACTGTTCTTCACTCTGCCTGTCAAATCAAGTAATTCATTGATGCTTAAAAAATAAGTCAGTTTTCCTGTAGATTTTTTGTTGGTGTGGTTTTTTTTTGTTTTTTTTTT